TGTCATTATTGCCATTGTTTTTCTTATCATGAATTTTACTGTTGTTTTTCTTTGTTGTTCCTCCTTTTAAATACTTTGTTCCTCCTCTCTCTCTGCACTTAGGACGTTTATGGTAGCCGGACGCCGCACCGGTTACTTCGTTCTTGCTCGCAGCTTAGCTGCCCCCCCGGCCGTTGTTTGTGTTAATTAGACTTGCTGTTAGACTTGTTGATAGACTTACTGCTAGCGGCCAACAATTTACCATTAATTGGCAGCAGCTCGTTTGCTCCTGTTCATTTTCCTCGGTTTGTTGTTTTTTCGTTTCGCCAACGGGCGGCGAGGCGCGTCTAGACCGATAATGGACAGGCCAAGATGGCGGCGGCGGCGGCGGGAAGTGGATGCAAAGTTAAGGCCTATATAATTCCGCAAAGGGTCGCCGCGCGGAATGACGGGCTTATGGTATGAGCTCGATATGTATTAGGAGTAGATAATAGGGAATCTATTATTCCTATTATCTATTATCTATTCTCTATTATCCAATTCCATATTATCTACTTCTGATATGTATGTGAGGTGTCGACTTTATTCGCAGGGATGAAGTAGTGTTTGTAAAGTGCGCCGCCATATTGGTTTTTCCTTTGTGGCGTGTTCGCAACTGTACTGTGTGACCTCCCAAGCATCGTTGCCTCATTCCCATTTCCCTGCCAGCTTGCCCTCACACCGCCTGCCTGTCGTTCCTATAGTGACTTCAGTTAAATCAAGCACGAAAAAAGACACGAGCACAGCACAGATACTATATGATACTACCATCTCCATGCGTTGATATCTTTTCTCTCTCTCTCTCTCTCTCTCTCTCTCTCTTTCTCTCTCGCTCTCTCTTTCTCTCTCTTTCTCTAGACGAATCACTGCTCGGCGCAGTGCTGCATGGAGCCATTACCATTTAGAGTACCAACGCCAGCTCTAGTCATTGCCGTTCGCGCTCTGATTTTAACTCGAAATGTTCCAGCATGCCAGTTAGCGGGCAGTGATGCGACTGCGATAGGAAAGACGGCAGGGCTGAGGCGGTGATTTTTATCACAGTTATAGATGCGTACGTGTGTGCGTGCGTGCGTGCGCGTGTGTGCGTGTGCGTGCGTCCACGCACGTGTGTGTTCGCGTGCGTGCGTGGGTGCGTGCATGTGCGATACGAAGTCCACTATATCGATATTATTAGTGACAAATTCTGCCACGCAGAAAAATGATGGGGAATGGTGTACGAAGCATGCGGGCAGGGTGGAGCGATATGAGAGAGCAGCAGCAGCAGCAGCAGCATGGAGAGAAAAAGAGAGAGAGAGAGAGAGAGAGAGAGAGAGAGAGAGAGAGAGAGAGAGAGAGAGAGAGAGAGAGAGAGAGAGAGACG